CCTATCTTCTTCCCCTGTCCTTCTAATGTAGTTTTATAAGTTTAGTTAAATCAGTAATCACTGTATACTACACTGTATAGTTATATAGTATAGCTATAATGTTCTCTGCAGTGCCAGATAGTGTACCATTATCACATTTTTCTTTTTTAAAAAAACACTGTTTTTCTGAAGTTACTTTTTTTCTTGATTTGCATAATTTTCAGTATATCTATCTTTGAATATTCAACTATTTTTCATGGAAGTGGAGATAGTACTTTTTGGGCAGTTTCACCAAAGGGTGATCCTTCTCCCATAAAGAGATCACATTCTTGTAGTGAAAGGGCCTGTTTTCCATATTCCTAACATATGTCAGTATGACTATAACTCAAAGTAGACAGGAGTCAAATGGGAAATCCAACCCTTATAATTGAAAGTTTATTGCTCATGCCCAGAGTGCTTAGTAGTTATCCTGGTCTCCAAGTCCAGAAAGTTTATAGATAAACTGTGATGTGATATCCTATGATTCTAAAGAAGTAGGAATTTTATATTTCTGTTTGCACACTCTAAATAGGTGTAATGTAGATTAGGAACTGAAACTGAGGCTTGAGAACCTAGGTATCTGCCTGTTCTACCAAAGAACTCCACTATTATATTGGATTTCCTAATGAGTCAACCAGTTTATAAAAATCCCCTTAAATCCCATGTAATCATAGCAGAGATTTGTAAACACAAAGCACCTGTTTTATAAAAGGATGTAGAAAACTTTTATTCCCCTATCTTTAAGATTCCTGTTGAATATGAGGTTACTTTTAGTTGTTAAAATACTTCTCTGTGAATTTTTCAGAATAGTTTCTCCAGCTTCTCTAAATTGCATTTTTCACTTTTTCCTAGATTACTAAAATAATTTCATCCGATATCTTAATAATTAAAAACTAAACAGTTCCTTTTTTAATATTCAGAATTGTCTTAATTGTTTCAAGCAGTCTTTCTCAAAGAATGAAAATGAAAAAACAACATAAAATTTACAAGTATTTTTTTTTACAAAAAAATCTTAAAAGATCAAGCAAACCACAGTTCTAAATTCTTAAGACTCACCAATTCTTAGAAGAACTTCATTCAAAGAAAGAGACTATGGGCCTTTCTGGCAACTGAGTAAGTTTTGAAATATCATAAGGAGGAGTGTTAGACATAAATGTAACAAAAAACTTTGGAAATTTATTTTTTAAAAATCTAAAGAAAACGGGAAACTTGGTAATAACCTGTCAGGGAGAAAGATAATATGTACATTACTTGTTAAGGTGGGAGTTTTTTAAAGTGGGAATGAAATCACACATACTTATTAGAATATTATACATCCATCCCAAAGTAAAAATCCAAATTGTTTATTGTCATTTAATAATGACTTGCATGTAAATTTGTACAGTTTTTATAGTTTATACACATGTTCAGTAGTAATACTGAAATATTTCTTAAGTATTTGTTTTCAGAATTAAATACCTAGATTTATAATAAAAACTACTATAATAAACAAGGGGTAGGGAGAAGGAAATTAATTTTCATTAGTTTGATTACTTATTGTGAAGACAGAATTACAGATATGCTCCAAAAACATAGTAAAAACAATGATTTGTTGTGCACGTTAATTTTATAGATAAAACACTGCTGAAACTTTTTTCTGTCTTTTCTTTGTTTTCCTGAATAATCTTATAAGGGAAAAGCTGAGAAAGAGAATGGAAAAAAGTGGTAAAAGCCTATACAAGTTACTACTTTGGACTTTGATTTTCTGATTTATAGTGAAACTAGATAATCTCTAAAGTATTTTTTAGGTTTAAATGTTACCAACATATGAATAGGAGACAGTTGTGGATGTGATTCAGTATGTAAGGGGATTCAAATATAGAGCAAGGAAAATAGAAATAAAAAGATGGAAGAAGACTAGAGAGGAAAAGATTTACTGAATGCCTAGGATTGCAGATGAAATTTGCATAACTATCTAATATTTTTGTTACTGGAGTTCTTCCTACTCTCTTCTCCCAAATACAGATGTACTTTTCTCCACAATGATAGCTGGACTAAACTAAGCTTTTATACATTAATATAGCCACAATAAGTACTCAGTAAACATTTGTCTAATTTACTGACTTGAAGTATACCAGAGTTAATTATATAAAACAAGTTTCCCTTCAGCTGTCTTTTGAGTTTTTAACCATGACTTCGTGACCATGCTGCTGTTTGTCTTTGTCTGCCATCACACATAATCTGACATCTGTGATGTAGTTTCCTTGTCTTTGTAAGTGACTAATTCAGATTCATGCTTTTACCTCATTGACCCACTTTTACAGTTATACTCTCTTTTGCCTTGGGCTATTCATTATTTCCCTTGCACTAAGCGTAAATCTGTCATGGGTCAGATTTAGCTTGCCGTCTTCCTACTATTCTCCCTTATTTGGTAGATCTCAAATTGTATTTAGGACTCTGTTTTCAACTGATTTTGGAGACACACACATTGGTAGGAAGTATCTGTTCCGGGCTGCCAAGTGAGTTACTAGCTTGGAGAATGTCATCTCATAACTCTTCCTAGAAAGCAAGAATTTTAAGAATACTATGCTTAGTCTCAGATCACTTATTCTTATATCTATTCAAACAACATTTGTGTTAGATGATATGCTAATTTTATAGAGATAAAAATGTGAATATGATATGGTCTCTGCTCTCAAGAAGCTTAGTCTTGTGATAACATGACAGGCATAATGCAGTTATTAGAAAACCTGTGGTAGAATTATATACCAAAAAAAGGGAGTAGTTGTTATGCTGTGGGGTGGAGCTGATGGAGTAAATAGTCTAGGATTATGAGGATGATTCAGTACTAGAAGATGTAACATAAATTCACTACATTAACATGTCAAAGGAGAAGAATCAGGTGGGTGTAGATGTAGGAAAAATTGGATAAAATTCAGCACCTATACAGATAATTGAATAGGAATAGGAGGGAACTTAACTTGAAGGAGAGTATCCATCAGGAAATTGTAGTATTAGTGGAGAAACATTAGTGGAGAAATATCCCATTAAATTTAAGAACAAGATAGGGTAGCTCCTATCTCCATTATTATTTGTTAATACAATAAGGAGAGAAACAGAAATGACATGTAAGATTGGAAAGGAGGAACTAGACTGATATTTGCTGATGATAAGATTTTTTTACCTGGAAAACCTAGAACAATGAACTAAGTAAACTAAATTTTGAAAGGTGGTTAATCAGAAATGCAATACACAAAAACTACAGTTTTCCTGTTATTCACTGGCAATGATAAAGTAGACAAAGAAATAGAAAACATCCATTAAACAAAAACTCAGGTTAGAAAAATTTTTATTTAAATGTGCAACACTTTTGTGGGGAAAATTTTTACATTTTACTAATGCAAATGTCAGTCATTATCAAATTAATACTAATGAAATCCTATTAAATCTCAATTACGTTTTTCATAGAACCTTATAAATGTCTGAAAATTCATAGAAAAGGGTGATGTATAGGACCAGTCAGGACAAGTTAGAAAACAAAAACATAAAAGAGGAGCTTGCACTAAAAGAATTAAGATAATAATAAAGCTATGGTAATATTAAAAAGGTTTTAATGACACAGGAATAAACATATGGGTTAATGGGACAGAATATACTCCAAAAGTAGACCCACACTTACATAATGGGCATCTAGTGTACCATAGAGATCAGTGAGAAATGATAAGCTCCTTAGTAATTGTTGGGATAATTGATGATTAGTATGGGAAGACTATAAATTATATTCAGGGGACCTCAAGGAATATCAAAGGACAACCTATTAAAGTTTAGCAAGATTTTTAAAGATAAGAGTGATACACAAAAATTGATAGCATTCATATCTGAATAATAGCCTATTAACAGGTATAATTTGAAAATACATTCACTCCAATAGCAAATACTAGAAGGCATTTAAGCATCTAATAAAAGACCATCATAAAGAATATTATAAAGTGGTTTTGAAAAAAAGCCCAATGATGGATATGGCCGCAAAAGCAAAATTCATCAAATGAGATTGCATCAAACTAAAAACTTCACCACCACAAAGGAAATAATCTACAAAACAAAAAGATAATCTATGGTAGTTATCAAAGTAATTATAGTAATAGATTATGATCAGTTGAATACTGTTGGTACCCATGAATGCATACAGATAAAAATAAATTAAAGATCAGATATTGACATAGTTTCAAAGTTTGTTCCCACAAAATACTTAATACAAAAGAGAAAGAGTAACTCTCTTAGAGAAAACTGGCAGATACCAGTTTAATCAAGTGAAAAGGGAATGTCAACAAAAATGGGACAAATCAAAATCATGTACCACCTCTTAGGATGCATTAAGAATACAAGATCTCTTATTTGTTTTTCTTGTCAATGTTATATAACCTGAACTTGAGTCAGACACAGACTAATCAGACAAATTCAATTGAAGAATGTTCAATGAAGTAACTGGCTTGTGACCTTTTTTGGGGGGGTGTCTTTAATGTACAATTACATGAGCAACATTATGGTTACTAGACTCCCCCCATTATCAAGTCCCCACCACATACCCCATTACAGCCACTGTCCATCAGCATAGTAAGATGCTATAGAATCACCACTTGTCTTCTCTGTGTTGTACTGCCTTCCCTGTGCTCCCCCTCCCCCACATTATGTGTGCTACGTTATGTGGAGAGAAAATGAGAATGAAGGGTAACATCTTACTTAATGTTTCAAATTTGTTTTGTAGGTCTTAGAAATATCAGGTACATTTATATCAATTAGAAGCACAGAATACATGTCAAAGTAATCATTTGTCCTTTTTTGGATTCTCTGTTAATACAGCTGAATGCACAGATTTTTAAAAAAATGTATTATATGATTATTTTTTGTCATCTATAGGCTGATAGATGTATGTCAATGTAATTGTAATTGTAGCTTAAAGCATTTAAAACCTTTTTCTTAATTTCTTTAATTTCTTGTTTTAGTAATCCTAAATTGGAGAGTCAGAGAGTAAATAAAAAAGTCAACAATGATGCCTCACTTAGAATTCATAATCTATCCATTTTGGTGAGACAGATAAAATTTTATTACCAGGTAAGTGGTCCCTTTTTTCATCTGTTAATTTCATAACTGCTTCATATTCATATTTTTGTGATATTTGGTATCAATCACCTAATATATATTAAATTCTTATTATATACCAGATCTGGTCTTTTTGCTGGAGAGAGCAGGAATAATATAGTTTATTTCTTATGCAATATTAAAAATACAAGCAAGCATTTCATAATTATCTAATTTCACAAATAATTGATAAATTTTTAAAACCAGTTCCCAGTTTCCTGAGAATTCACATAGTGTAACACTTTGTAGCCTACTTGAAGTTGCCTTTGAAAAATGTACTTTCTGTCATCCTTTTTAAAACTTAAGTTGGTTGCATATTTCAGAGTTTAAATATGAGCATTTGTAAGGCTATCAATATGCCTCTTAGAATTGCTATAGCTGCATCACACACATTTTGATATGTTATATTTTTTGAAGTATTTATGCATTTTCTAATTTTTGTTATGATTTCTTATTTTACTTAATGTTATTTGGAAATATGCTTTTAGATTCCAAACATTTGGTATTTTTCAAGCAGTCATTTTTGGTTTTTATTTTTGTCAAAGAATATAGTTTGTATGGTACTGATTTTTTTACATTTGTGAATAATTATTTGCCCTGATCTAGTATTTTGTCAGTTTTCTTTATTGTTTGATATATGCTTGAGAAAGATTTGTACTCACCAATTGTTTGGGTGAGTAACAGCAAGCTTGTTTGTTAAATATATTATTTAGTCTTTTGCAGCCTGACTAATTTTGTCCCTTGATCTAGTACTTAGTGAGAAAGATGACTTGAAATCTCCCATTTTGATAACAGTTTTGTCAAATTTTCATTTATACATTTTAAAGCTATGTTATTGGGTACATGAATTTAAAATTGTTTAATTTATCTGGACAATTATACATTTATCAGTAATTGTTTCCTCATATTTTTCTTTCTACTGGTTTAAACATTTTCAAAGAATATAGTTTGTATGGTACTGATTTTCTCTTCTCTTTTTTTAGAGGCCACTATAGTTTGTATGGTGCTGATTTTCTCTTCTCTTTTTTTAGAGGCCACTCTCAAAATTTTACCTTTCATACTTAGCATAGCAAAGGCCAAAATTAATCAAGATTTTTTCTCTTTATAGAATAGTACTCTTTATAGAATAGTACTATGACCTTTAAATGCTTTAAGTCCAGTCATCCCCCTTTTAACCAGTTCTTTTCTTGTACTTTCTTTTTTTAAACTCATAAATTAGATATTGAAAGTACTATTAAATACATAAAATCAGTGTTTCTTTAGATGAAGCTTCATGTCTTCCATTTTTCAGCATCTCCTGGTTTTCTTATGTATCTCAGGCCTGCCTTTGGAAAAGTTTCTTACTGAAGTACATTCTTAAATGTTTGTTTACAGAGAGCTTATTGATAGTAAAGTTTCTAAGTGTTCATTTGTCCTGAAAATGTCTTTATTTTACCCTTGTTCTTGAAAGATAATTTTACTGGGTATGCAGTTCTTTGTTACCAATTTCTTTTCTCTCAGTGTTTTGTAGATTTTATTCTTCTATCTCTGGATTACTTTTTGTTTTGGAGAAGTCAGCTATAAGCATAATTTCTGTTTTAAGGTTAAATTTCTTATTTATCTCCATAGTAGCTGCTAATATTCTCTCTTTTAAAGGCATCTTTCCTATTCTGTTAACCTGATATCATTCAGATATTGATATTACATATGTATTAGATTTTCTTACTTTGTCTTCCACATTTATTAAACTTTCTTTTACACTATGAGTCTTCTGCTTCACTGAGTATTTTTTTCAGGACTTTCTTTCCACTTTGCTAATTTGCCCCTTGTGTGTCAAATCTTCTGTTTTATTCATTGGTTAAGTTTTGACTCTGAGTAACTGTATCTTTCATTCCTAGAGGTTGTGCTTGATTCTTTTTATGTCTGCTTTTTCATTTTGTTTATTAGTCATTCTTTTAATTCCTTCCTATATTTCCTCAGAATTTAAACATTTTTTGTTTTGGGTTTTATGTCTGATAATTCCAAAATCTAAAATCAGATCTGTGGGGGTCTGAATCTCACCTTTATTTCTGCTTGCTATTTCTCAGGATGATGGTAGCAGTGTTGTGTATGTGTGTTTTAACTGTGAGCTCATTTTGTGTGGGAAATTTATTTGTAGGAGAGCAGTTTACACTTTGTCTGGATCAAAAATGCATTGCTTCAGAGAGGATTTATTTCTTTTTATGTAGCCTACCCAGAACCACTTTTAATTTATTTTAAGCAACTTTATGTTATTTTAGAAGCAACACTTGTATACTGTAGAAAACTAAAAAAAAAGTAGAAAGTACAAACACAGTTACAGTTACAGTGCCAGGAGACTGCCACTATTAAACCTGCATATTTGTGCTCCTGAATCTCTTTTTCTGCATTTCTGTATTTGTAAGTTATATATTTATGTGTTTACATTTTTTTAATTGGGACTACATTATTGCAAATCATTAGGGAAACAACCCTCCTCAGTCTGTACCAAAAGCCAAGAAAAATGACGTCTTCTTTGTCTTCCTTTGCAGAGTTCAAGTTTTTAATTTTGTTTTATTTTAGCTGAGTATTATTGTTTTTACTTTGTTGAGTTCACTCATATATTTTAAAAGATTAAAAAAAATTATCCAGCATTTTTGAATTCCTTTCTAATGTCTAGCACTTATTGTTGCCAGAAATAAAAACCTGTATTAGGTTTTTTTATAAACTTTATTAATAGTTGCCAATATTCTGGCTTTCATTTTCCTCCAGGTTATTTGAGTGAATTAGGTTTTACAGTATATCTGTTCTGTTTTCTTATTGTTTTTTCATATCATATGTCTAGTTTAAACAAAAGACTAGATTAAGTGGTACAGTGACTTATCTTGACAGTCTTTATCAGTTTTGTCCTTATTAGAGCAAGAAGCTAGATTTTTAGTTTCATACTATTTTTAGGGAGGTGGAAATTTCCCTTAAAAATTTCAGTGAAACTTTTTCGGGGGAAAATGTCATAACATGGATGGATTTAGAGGGTATTATGCTCAGAGAAAAAAGCCAGGTGGAGAAAGACAAATACTATACGATTTCATTTATTTGTGGAGTATAACAACAAAGCAAAACAGAAGCAACAAAATCGTGGTAGACTCAGACACAAAGAAGGGACTAGTGTTTACCAAGGGGGAAGGGTTGGGATGGGTGGGGGGAGGGGTGAAGAGAATAAAGGGGCACAATAATTTGCAATCACAATACAAGTTGGTCATGGGGTTGGTAGTTCAGCATGGAGAATATAGCCAATGATTCTGTAACATCTTACTATGTTGATAAATAGTAACCTCACTAAAGAGGGTGAGGATTTAACAATATGGGTAACTGTTGAACCACTGTGTTGTATATCTGAAATCAACGTACGATTATATGTCAACAATACTTGAAAAAAAAAAAAAGACAAAGGGATTTCTGCATCAGAACCTTAAATCTGTCGTCAGTACTACCTACTTCTATATTGTATACTTAATGTTTTCTTTTAACAGCTTTATTGAGATAAAATTCACATACCATAATACTAACCCATTTATCTTGTCCAATTCAATAGTTAGTAAATTTACAGAGTTGTGCAAGTATCAACACAACCAATTTTAGGACATTTTTATCACTGTCTGAAGAAACCCTGTATCTACTAGCAGTCACTCTCCATTTCCACCAATCCTGCATATGAAATCCACCACCATCCTTACCTGCCTCTACCACCACCACCCCAGCCTTAGGCAGCTGAGCTGATTTGTTTCTGTAGTTTTCCCTATTCTGGATATTTCATAAAAATGGAATTATGCAATGGCCTTTTTTACTGAGTTCTTTCACTTCACATAATGATTTCAAGGTTCATCCATGTCATAGCATGTGGTAGTATTTAATTCTTTTTTATTAATCTACTACTTTCTTGTTCTTTGTCTTCTTCTGCCCAAGGCAACTGTTGAAGTTATCTTTGTGTTAGTCATGTTAATCTAATGAAGTTATAGCTGTAAAAAAATTTGATTTGAGGAAGAGAGAATTGTGAAATCTATCAGTTCAGCAGTTTAATGAAGTGGTTCTCAATGGAAGGTGATTTTATTCCCTGGGAGGCCTTTAGTAATGACTGGAGATAGTTTGGGTTGTCACACTAGAGGTACTACTGATTTAATGGATAGAAGCCAGGAATGCACCTAAGCATCCTATAGTGCACAGGACAAATCTCCACAACTATGAATTATGCAGCCCAAAATGTTAGTAGTGCCAATGTTGAGAAGCCAAAATGTTAATAGTGCCAAGACGATACTATTATTTTTAGCAATTTGACTTGACTATCAACTTTGTTTTAAACAGATCTAAGTTTTTCATTAACGTTTGCTGGATGACCAGTTATACCTTTTTCATTAATCTAAGTTTGAATACCAGTGGACTAAGTAAGGTCTGGAAGTGATCAAATATCTTAACATTTTGTCAATATTGTTTAAGATGTTTAAAACATAAAATATTACCAAGGGTTGAATTTTCCTTTGTACCACTACAGTTTACCATACAATCTCTAGCCTGCCTCATGCTTCATATTCTTAGATAAAATGTTTCTAAGGTACTTCTAAAGAAATAGGTTAACCATCTCATTTACATAATTAATTGACTTACTAAAATAATGTTTTATTCTCATGTTTATTACCCAGACACACATGGCATGGTTTAATATATGACAGGTTTCAAGTTAACAAAGTCTAAAGTATTGCTGTTCTTACCATCTCTTAAATTACCCATCTCTTGGAAAAATCCAGTTTTCTATAAAAGTCTTTCTAAAAGTATTAATAATATTTTTTTATATCTTACACATCTCTCAGAAAAAGCATTTCAGGTAAAATATTTTAATACACTTTGATATTCTGACTCACAAAAGGAAAATGAATTTGGGTAGGTTAAAATTCACAAGGTATGTTTCCAATTTTTTTTTTAATGAGTTGGTAAGCATCCAGGTTACCTTGCAAAAAGGATTCCCAAGGTGAAAGGAAACTTGACAGAATACTCTTAAAGCAGATTGTTAGTGGGGGGAATTATTTACATAATAACAAAGGGTTTTGTTTCATAAAATGTAAATTACCTAAGAATTTTGTAATATGTAAAATTACCCAGGCACTCTGGTGTTTAAGTTATTTTTATTTCTGTGAATCACAGAGAGATTATGAATTTGATTATCAGATTCATAGTTTACAAGTAAAAATCTTAGTCCTTTTTTTTGAACTCTGTCGAGAGCTATTGCTTGGAATGACTGCACTGGCTGCAGTTTAAATAAGTACTAAAAGCAGTATGGTAGTGTTTCAGCCACCATTAAAATAATGATCTGAATCATTTCAGGGTCAAAAAGAAAGAATACTTTACAATTAAGAAATTTAAATTTATCAGGAAGGTTTTGCATGATTGATGTAACAAATATTAAAAACAAAAACCAAGTCTAGTACCATTAATCTAGTTGTCAGAAAAAAGCATTTCTTTAAAGCTTTTTCTTTAACACCTACTATAACAAGCAACATTTGCAGTAAGAGTAAAACTCAGTAGTCAAGGAATGAGACCCTTTGCTCTACAACAAATGCTTTATGTTTTGTCATATTTTTGACACTTTGGTCAGATGTTCTTTCCCTTAATGCTATGCATTTAATTTTTTTCTATAGTCTCCTAAAATTGTGGTAACAGTCTTAAATCTAGTCACTAGTAGTACAAATAAAAGGACAAATACAAATAGTATGATAGATATAATTATGTTCAAAAATTTAAAATAGGTTGTAAGAGTCTCAAAGGAGAGACTGTCATTCCAGTATATTGTAGAAACTTTTAAAACCCATATTTAGTACTATAGAAGTGAAGTTATAGTAATAATATTTTGCTCGGTGTGTGATTCAGGAAAGGGAAATAAGCTCAGACCTTTGCCAGCAATATCGTTTGACTTCTTACTGTGAAGGAAGTGTTATGGATAACTTACAGGAAGAAGGAGAAGGCTAGTTTAAGTTATCTTTGAATAGTAACTAAATAATGTCTGTGTTTGGCACAAACCTGAAATAGCATTTCTTACAATGGTTTAGTAACATGAACTTTAACACACAGAAACTTGTAATGTATATTAATAAAGTTTTTAGGTGGTCAACTAAAAATTAGAGTAATATAACATTTTTTATAGAGAAGTTATACAAACCAACTAAAAGTAATAGGAATTAAATTACTTGTATTATGTTTCAAAGCACCTCTATTATTATTTTCCTGTTAACATAATTTCTGCTAGCTCTTTCTTGTCCTTTTTCTTTTTATAAAGTATTGCTATTCTCCAAATCTTTCTCAACTGTCTTCCTACCAGGGTAGAATTTCGACCTATTCAGTGAGTCAGCTATAGTAGTTGTGGAAACATTCAAATTCTCTATATTTGAATGCCTGCATACTTTAAAAAAAATTGCAACCTTCTTATCTTCACCTCCACCAAACACTCCTCATTCTCTGCTTTGTTTTAATCCTTAGCAGTTATCAACAAAAATATTTACTTACTTGTTTTCTGTCTACCCTTTTAGTAAATTTACTAATACATAAATTCCATGAGCAAGGGTTTTGTTTGTTCATTGCTGTATCTCCAATGTCTGCTAGAAAATCAAAATGCAATAAATATTTCTTGGATGAATGACTGTTCTGATTTTCTCAGAACTTTCTCCTTTTTCAATTGTATGCTAAAATTCTTTTCTGTATACACTTTTTATAAGTTTTTATCACTTTAGTAACCAATTCAAGAAATATCTTTACTACTTCATGTACCTGTATTATCCTTAACCCATTAACTAATTAGTTCTATCTACTTAAAATCATTTATCTTGAGCTCATCTATATACTATTTTTCCATTTGTTTAGCACCTTAATAACGAACATCTTTAGAACTAGATGAAGTCTGGGAAGTCTGGGGATGATACAATAGAGCTTTAACAATACCAATAAGTTTTTTTTTAGCTTCTGATCTCTTATGTCTTGTATATTTTTTAATGTTACTTATAAGACTGAAATAAAGAAATAGGATTTTTTTACAAAAATGTAGCTGGAAACCTCTGAAGAACCAATAGAACGAAATACAAGGTTTAGAGTAAGTAGGGTTTCTAAAATTTGTGTAATTTTTACCTGTCTTACCTAATATCAGTTGTTCAGAGATAACTTAAAATTAATACTGGGAAGTAAATTAAAAGGTAGACTTTCCCCCCTCCCCCACCAGTCTTCATCATAGTAACTTGCTACTTTTGTTTCACTTCCTGCTCTTTCCAACAAAGGTCATACACATAATAAGTCATGGAGCTGATTTAAGCCTAGGCATTCTGGTTCTGCTTTACCAGAGTACTCTTTTCATTCAATTTCATTACACTAGAGTACAGTGTTAGATATATACAGTTGTTTGAATTTAGCAATTTACAACAGCAATTTGCATCATCCAATATAATCGAACTTCATAGTGTAAAGGTCAGCTGTATTAATACATGATGTCATTGATGGTGCCCTATGGTGAAAGGATATATGAGATTGCTTTCATCTTCGTGGGGAGACTGAGCTAGCATGAGAGAATGGGGTAACATAGTAGGCAGGAAGTGGGGAGCCAGCTGAGGAAAAGGGTGGAGGAAAGAGAGTGGACCATATTGAAGATTACTAACCAGTTTGGACAGTTTCCTCATAAAAGTGCAACAACATAGAAAAATACATAGTAAATCAGTTACAAAATTGCCTTGGAAATGTAAGCTGATGTTTTCTAGTTGACTCATCAATTTTGACTGTTAACCCCCAAAATAAGTGGCATAAATAAGAATTATCTTTTATCTTGGAAGTTGAGATAAAGCTTTTCTTCTGGTAATTCTGAATCTGTTAAAAGTTAAAGCCTCTATGAGAATGAATTTGACTGTTCTTTGTTCTGGCTGAGACTATCTCCACTAAATGGGATATAGACAAAGTGCTGATTACTTTTTAATACATATCTCTTCTCTATGATTTCTTTTAAATATCTACAGTGATAGTCCTGATAATTTTGCTTCAAGGCAAGGAAGGTAAAAATTAGAATGAATTAAAAATATAGTCCTTTAAGTCCATTTAGCTGCTGCAGACTTAGCTATAGCACATTCCCTCTTGAGATAAATTGCTTTTAACTGGAAAATTTATTTATTAAATAGAAAATTCACTATAAATCTTTAGAGTAAATGATTTTTGCAATTTTTAATACTCTTAATATTCTTAATTTACTTACCTAAATGATGCACATACTGAGTATACTTTTCTTTAAATGTATGTATATTTTTGGTGATAGTTTTTTCAAAGAGCTAGTATATATAATGCTGGAGAAAATTTTTTGAAACTTTCTAATACTTATCTATGAATAATTATAGATGAAATATTAATTCTAATTAGCCACTGGTGTCTTGCCACACACCGGCTATAGGAAAATGCTTTAGTGGATCTAGAATTACACAACTTTAAAAAAACAACACACATTAACTTTTCATGGTTATTGTATTTCCTCATCATAGTATTAAGAATGATTTAGAAAGAATTGAATACTTTCAAGAACTCATTCCTCAGTAACTAGTTATGTTTGATGATGTATTAGAAGCCAGATTGTAAAGACACTTACAGTTATTTCTGTAATCTTGCAAAGAATCAGCATCATCTGTAGTCTAATTTATCCCAGACCATTTGTAGCAAATCATGTAATGGTTGTAATAACAGACACCATGTGTTCCTTTATTTCCTCAAAGGAAAGGTAGCATAAACAGAAGGTACGTACTTGATGTATTACCTAAAATGAGTTAATTTGAAAGTGTTCAGTTCTTTCTGAATTATCCTGTACCATCAAATTGTACATATATTCTTGTTTAAAACTTTGACAGAAAGTCAAAAAAAATAAAACATCTGTTGTAGATAGAGAGAAAAAAATGATTCACTGAGAAAGAGCTCACTTGCATGAAATGATCATAAGATAGAGTTTCAAATGAAGTAGCTTTCTTAATTTTATTTATTTATTTATTTATTTTAGCTTTCTTAATTTTAATATCAATTGACATTTTTAGTTCCCTCAGAGAGAAGTAACGAAAAAAAGAGTACAGATGATTGAACTTTTATTGAAGAATGTTATTTAATTATTTAACACCTAAAACTTAGATTTCCAAATTATAAATATTAGACCACTTCTACTTGGACACTTTTATTTTGTGGGCAATTGATATATAATTACTGTAGTCTATCTGATATTATACTTTTAGTTATTTAATTCATTAACTTAAAGGTACAAAAGACTTAAGACCTTGGATATCTTTTTTCACATTTATTTTTTTTTAAGCATTTAAATTGCAGTATAGCATACCTACAGAGAAGTGCACAAAAGTTAAGTTATGGCTTACTGAGTAATTACCTCATCAGTATTACCCATATAAGAACCTTTGGGTATCTTTTTTTACAGGAGACTTTGCAGCAGTTGATCATGATGTCCTTGCCAAATGTCTTAGTCATTGGCAAAAATCCCTTTTCTGGTAAGTATTAAAATTAGTACAGTGTGATAATAGAGTCTTCTCTTTATGCAATACTGTCTTTATGCAATGCTTAATAAGACCTTGCTTATTTACATTAACACACTAGGTCTTTTATGACTTTATAGGGAAAGTTGGAGGTGATAATCTGTTTTATAGAGAGAAAATAAACCTAGAATATTTGTAAGTTGTATATGGGATCAGATACACATTATACATTAAGTCCAGAGGTTTTTTTTACTACCAAATTGATACTTTTTTGTGATGAATTTTAGTGTCTCATTATAAACAAAAATAGAAGATAATGTAGTTACAACCTTAGAAAAGTGATTTTGAAGTAATTTCTAGGTTGCTATGTGTATATATACTATCTGCCATTGCCAAATTTGTCTGAATCTAAAGTTTTACTGACTGATAGGTTGTAATTTATATTAAACTATTTCTGCATGGAAAGCTAAGAAGCAGTTTCTTGGATCATTTAATTTACTTTTTTGAAACTTTTCTGCCCTTTACCAGATTTTAAATGTGACATGTTCAGAGTTTTAATTTTGAACAGTTGGGGAAATTAGCAGCAACCACAGAGTTTCAACAAAGGACTTACTCTTCCTAAAAGCTATGTGTAACCCAAATTAAGTATATTTTCCCCAAACTCCACCCCCACCCTCAGTCAAACAAACAAAAATAAAACCAAAAGAAATTTTAAAAAGTGAAAAAAATATTTGTTTGGGGAAGGGTGATTAGTATGGTTCAGTGTGGCTAAGAAGGTAGGTCATTTCATTTAAAAAGATTTTGACTTTATCTTTTATAGAGGAATATTTTTTAATTATTGGCCTGTGGTCCAATAAAAATATGGCCCCTAATGATTTGGGCCAAAGAAGTGACTTATTTTGTCAGCTGAATGTTCTAAGAAAAATCTGATATGAATGCTGTTGGACAGTGAATGAACTCTCTAGTTCTATTACAGATCATTAACTTTTTCCAGCATTATTTATTTTACCAGTGCCATTGTAACTCACTACATTTGAGGTTTTCCACCTCATGAATCTACACAGTGGAAAGCCATGTAAATTTTATAGATAGATAAACCTATATATAAGATGTGTTTTAGAAAGAAAACACTGATAGGCCTAAAAGAAGCCAGACCTGTCAGGAACCATTTTGGCTTTGTGACATGTCCCTATATAAGCAGCTCTTAATTTGGTATGCTCATATGGTTTACTTTATGGAAAAGTAGTGGATGTATAGTGACCATACTTTTTTGCATTGGCATTCTGTTTTATCTATACTGCAGCCCTTTAAAAAACAGATCCTTGCCATGTCTTCTGCTATTACTTCATTGTGCACATTCAGATCTGCTTTTTAAAATTCTCTACTGTACTTTCAGATCTAATCCTTTGGTCAAATTTTGACTCTTACTTCTAGAAGTGATTCTGCCAATACTAAGAAAGAGTGTTGAAGTAAAGTAAAATGTTGTACTTAGTAATTGTTTTTATTTCAGAACAAGGCACAGAAGAAGTTAAAAAGTTGCTTTTACTTTTACTGGGTTGTGCAGTTCAGGTAAGTTAAAATATTTCTTCATATTTTCATTTTAATAACTTCCTTATATGTTTTTTCAGGCTCTGGTTTCTAAAAGACTTACAGATAGGCCATTGGTTTTCAGTCTGTTAAAAAGTTTTAAATAGCTATATAACCTCCCAAGGAGAATTTAGAGAAAAACACTTGTTTTGTTATCTTATTTCAAACTTTATATTATCAGATAGTTATAGCATTTAAAATCTTTGTTTTTTTATTCTGAGGCTTCTAATGGCCCCAAGTTTTTCAAATTTCCTTAGAAGTACCCTTAAAAACCTCCCCCAAAACATAATCCTTATGATTTAAGCAGATGCATTTGTATTATAGAAAGGAAGCAGAATTAACAATTAAAAAGAGTCAGAATTATAAAAACTAATTTAGGAGTCTGAGTTATAATTATATTGCCCTTTTTGGTCAATGATTATAATAATAGAAACTGTGATTTATTGAATGCCTACTTTGTGTCAGATGTAATACTTTACATAAGTTTTCTCATATTTTTCAGATAAGGAGACTGATATTTAGATAGGGTGATATTTAAGTTATCAAAATTAAGTCACTTGTGAGAGTCAAGAAGGGTTTTCTCAGCAATTACAGTGGAACTGCATGTGCATGTGTCAACTGGGGCTGTCCCAGACAAACCAAGGGGTCGCTTTAGATTTAAGTTATATTGCTAGCAGGCCAAAGAGTTGAGATTAACCTCTGGTCTGACTTCACAACCTATTATACTATGTTGATTTTCCTTTAATTTGCCATTGTTTGGATGAGTGATTACAATGTTACTTTAAACTATCTTAGTTCTTTGTGGAATAAAGTTATTTTTAAACAAATAAATAATGTGGCCACTAATGATTTTTTATTACATATGCCAGAAGTTATATATTCAAGAGTATTGACTTTTAGAGCTGACTGCAGAACTACGTATTTTTATATGTTATTAAAGCTTCATGATATGTAATGTATTGGTGTTTACTTCATAATTGATTAAATATGAAGTTGAATATAGTATTTATATTCATTGCTCTTCTAATTTGGCCACCAACTCTTGAGTTATAAACACAGCCGTTAATTATTTACATCCTTTCTGTACTCTATTTGCTTTAAAAATACTCTGTTGATGAATGTTATGTAAATTTAGGTAACACAGTGACGGCGTAAACTTGGTTGTTATTTCTGGTTACTATGTGGTTGTTATTGCTGGTTAGTAAAATTAACAGTGAATAAAGCAGAACCAAGGACTTTTTTATGAACACTTTAGGGAAAGCTTAAATATTAAGGAAACCAATGTTATTACCATCTCTAAGAGTAACAAAGAAAGATTATGAAATCTTAACTGCTTCCCCCTACCCTACCATTTTCTATAACTCACATAATAGTGTCCCAGATGCTGGAAAATGAAAAGGATGGCATGAAAATAACATTCTTTTTCTAATAAGCTAAAGCTTCAGGTAGGTTAACTTATGTAAACCAGAAGTCTCTTCTAGTTCTACCAGTGATTTCCTAAAGAAATTTACAAATAATTTTTGACATTTGAATAACTATTGATGCATATGTTTTAAAACAACTCCCTTCATTTTACTTTACTAGTGAAATAAAGCACCTCTATCTGATGGGAAAATTTTTCTTAAAACTACGTAATAGCCATTCTAGAAATCATCAATTATAATGTCAGATATATACATTCCTTTTTATTAATGCACAGAACTACATGTGCATAGATTTACTCTTGTAAGGAGCCCACTTTCTAAAATAGTTTACATTAGTGTCAGCATGTAATTAAAACAAGAAGATTTTCTAGTGATGTTAAAGTATTCTTATTTTTTCTATTAATTTATTAGCTGATTATGATTACCTGTGCTTTAGACTCACTTAGCTGGGAAAGGCTTGTTAGGTAGTTGTTATTTCAAATGGTCATTGGAGAAAGGAAGAAGAATATTTGGGTATATTAAGGTATGAGAGAAGGCACAGAGTGGGAAAATTGTGTAAAATAATTATGTAAATATGCATTGGTGTGACGTAAATAAAGTAACCTAGAAAATAAAGGCAATTTTAAGATGTTTAGAGAGAGCAGGGCAGTGTGAAGGTAGGTTTTAAGGTTGACGGAAGGAGTTCATTAGGTTTATAATTTTTTTCCTAAACTTGAGAATAGTTTAAAGAGCCACTAAGTGAAATGCATCAGCCACATGAAAGTGTGACTTCAGAAGTATGAGTGGAGTCAGTGAAGAGTAATTTGTAGCACTATGTTTGGAAGATGTCTAGGACTCAAAGTAGCAAACGCATTTGAAAATATAGAAAGAATAAATACAAGGAAGTTCATTTTCCATAGTAAGGATAGATTTTACCAGTTGTAAAAAACAAAGCAAAGACTCAAGGAGACCATCATTCTAATCTTACCCTGTGTCAGCATCATTCAGTTTCTATAGAAATGAGGAGGTGGCAGGGTTGTCAGACCTTCGTCTTTGATGTGAAATGATGTAAACCAGTCATAGTATATATCTTATGTATTTGCAGTCATGGCAGAATTCTTTTTTTTTTTCACTTGAAAGCTCTTGAGATGCATCTGTTGTGCCAAAATGTCAGATCTACCAAGAAGGAAGGAAGGAAGGATCTAATTTTGAAAAAAATACTGTATTTTTTCTTTCTGTATTTTAAAATTGTTAATGATTTGGTTTTTTTTTTCCCAGATGTACACTGTGTACCAGATGCTGTAGTTAAGAACAGGGACGGAGATTTTTTTTTTAAATACAAATCTCAGGGACTTTAAATTTTAGAGACAGACTAAACAATAAACAATACACGGTAATAATTACCATAATGCAAGATATATTGGTACACAGAAGGAATATTTTCTTAAGTCTGCTTGTAGTGTAAGGGAATGCCTCTCTCAGGAGGTAATATTTGATGTGAGAGCAAAGATATTGAGATAAACAACTTGTTAGGGACCATCATGTATGGTTGGAATGAAACATGCATTGGGGAGAATGGCAAGAGATTAGACTAGAGGGGTGGCAGGGATTGGGTCACAAAGGACTGGATTTGCCATATTAAAATAGAGTTTGGATTTCATCCTACAGATATTTGGGAGCTACTAATGCTAAGGACATTAAATGTGTAACAACAAAATCTATTGCTAGCCTTCAGCTCTAACTATATGAACAATTAAAATAAATCTTTGTTGATACTGAAAAACAAAATGTATTTTAGGACCAGAAACTATTTAGAAAACCAATCAGTTGAAAGTATTGCTTGAACACTTTCTAGAACATAATCTCTATTATGGAAAATCAGTTCATCTAGTAGTTGAATAGGTTAAAGTTCTAATATTTAGTATAATGTATAAATGGCATAAATGTTTTTTCACATTAAGATCTGCTTTATCTATTATACTTGTGATTTGTAAGTAGAAATAATAAGTTTAAAGTTTGCTGATTTGATACTATAGTCCAAGAATTCAGTGGGCTCTGGGTTTTTCTTTTGAATAAAAAATTATGAAATTCTTAAGGGGAAGTAGCATTCAAAAACAGTAACACTAGCCACTATCCAAATATCTTACCTTACAGAATAAATTATAATTAAGACTTTTATATATAAATACATATATATGTAAGCCATAGGAATAACTTTGAATATGAAGAAAACTGTTCAAGACCAGTGCTTGGGTATTTTCATTATTGGTGGGATAAACCAGTCAGTTCCCTCCAGAATCTTTTTTAGTGGGTAACACAAGTCTCCTGAACCACTTCTGAGCATCAGCTAGAATTTTCAGAGATGTATGGCCCTGTATCCCCACTATGAGGCACTTGAGATTCCCACACAAAAGGAAAAATTTTGTAGTGTATGTTGTTTGGAGATTTCTCTTCCGAGACCATGTCTTGGAATTCACCCCTTTTCAGCAGAACTTAGGTTTTATATCTGCAAATAACCTGTGGCTATTCAGTATCCAAAAATATTTATTTTGGACTTTGGCCAGGTTCCATTAGTGCTTGAAAGTAACTGAGTGTCAAATGTGGTTGAAATTAAAATTTTGACCTTAATGTATGCCCTCACAAGCAATTCTAACATTAGTATTTGATTCCAAAAACCAGTTTTGAACTTGGTCAGCTTGAGGGCTACAATCTATTGTTTTCCTGTCAGTTTTCTGTAAAGCATCTTAAAAATTAGCATTTTGAAATACTAATTATTGTATTACATTTTGGGGAGATAAAACAATCTATAACTTCTAGCTGAGGCATTTCTTTTTCCAAGAATATGTGAAAATAACAAATGTAGCTTAACTTACAGAGGTAATTTATTTGCTGATATTTTTCAATTTTTTATTATTTTTTTGGTCATGGAAAAATATACATAACATAAAATTACCATTTTAACCAATATTTACAGTTCACTAGCACTAAGTACATTCACAGTGTCGTGCAACCATCATCACTATCCATCAACAGAACTTTCTTTTCTTCCAAAACTGAAATTCTATACCTACTGAATAGTAACTCCCCATCCCTTTTGCTCCCTGCCTTTAACAGCCACCATTCCACTTTCTGTCTCTATGAATTTGATTACTCTAGGACCTCACATAAGTGGAATCATATACTATCTGTCCTTTTGTAAATGGACAATTAGTATAATCTCCTTAAGATTCACTCAATTTATAAAATGTGTCATAATTTCCTTTTCAAGAGTAAATAATATTCCATTGTGCATATATACCACATTTTGTTTTTCCATTCATCCATTGATGGACACTTGGGTTGCTTCTATTTTTGGGCTACTGTGAATAATGCTGCTATGAACATGGGTACACAAATAGCACAAGTTCCTGCTTTCTATTCTTTTGGTATATATTCAAAATGGGAACTGCTGTATCATATGGTAGTTCTGTTTGTAATTTTTTAGCAACTGCTACTGTTTTCCATAGTATCTGTACCACTTCATATTCCCACCAATACACAAGGGTTCCAGTTTCTCCACATCCTCTCCAACATTTATTA